TTTCCAAGAAGAATAATGGTATTAGACTGATCCTCATTAGTGTCCAGCTCAATTTAACCTTTATCATCTTCAACATTGGATACAAAAGTTATGCTTTTGTTCTTTTTCTCAACCTTATCACCAATAGCCAATTAAAAAGTTTAAAGTGACCCAATAAGTTCATCAACTCTCATGTTGTTGAGTCCCGAGCTTTTTCAATTGTTGTGACCTTCATGTCAAATCTCCTAAGTAAGGACCTAAGAATATTTCTGACCAGCTTGGCTTATGACATCTTCTCTCCCAATACACTTGATGCACTAGCAATTTCAAGAATTTTCATTTGATATTCTTGAATTGTCTCATCAACATTCATCTTTAAGTTCTCAAATTTGGAAGTGTGAAGCTGAAGTCTTGAGATTTTTTACCTTAGAGGTACCTTCATAAGTTATCTTGAGAATTTCCAAAGCCTCCTTGGTCACTATACACATATTAATCAGCCTGGAAATATTTTTGTCTACTCCGTGAATAGAGCATTTAAAGCCTTTGAATTTCTAATAGCTTCTTTATCATAATATTCATTCAACTCTTCTTCAGGTTTGATTGTGTCAGTTTCAACCTATTTTCCATCTTTGTCAGTGATCTTCATAACATGATGCTTCCATCCTTTCATGACAGCCTTCAAGATTTGTTGTCCATAACTTTTAGAAACACTATCATTCGAACTTTCCACTAGTCATAGTTAGAACCATCCAACATGGGTGGTTTATTGTTATAAACTCCTTCTTTCTCCATAGTGCCAGAAAATATATATCTCTGAATCTCACCCATTAATCAAAATCAGGTGCCTGCTCTTGATGCCAATTGATATTCTGAAACGCATAATATATCAAAAGTCAAGACTGATGTCTCAACAACTGCAGTGTAGACAAATGTTATAACATCTGCTGATAGAACAACAACAATAACAACAATGCAGAAAAATAACTTGCAGAAAGTAAAGAACACAACAATATGTTAACCCAGTTCGGAGCAAACACACCTACTCTAGGGGCTACAAAGCCAAGAAGGAAATCAACTATTAGTAGTACTAGTTCGAAGCTAAACTCCCCCGTTCAAAACTTCTCACCTAATCCCTACCCATTGCAACTTCTACCTAGGTCCTCCTAGATATGAGAGATCTCCATCCCACTTCCAATCACCGTATTGATAAAAGACATATCCCAATCATAGGGGCTGTCTAAAGAAACAAAAACAGGAAGAACACACTTCCAAATTACAAATACTTAGTTTGCTTAAAAGCTTCACTAAGAACAATACTCAAATCTTGCTTCACAGCTTCGAGGAGAACAATAACTTTACAAGCAAGTAACAAACAGTTAACTAAAATGTATCAGAGATACATGAGGACATACAAACAAAACACACAGATAATCTAAGGAACTACCAACCCTAAACCCTTATTTTTTACAAGGTTTTACAAATAAAAACTTTGCTTAAAAACTAGGTCTTGGATAACTCCTTATATAATCTTCTACAGTTGGGCTTGGACTCTTCAATTAAATCCAATCAGAAGATCCCAAAAACCTACTGAATCTTTCTCCATAAAAATAGAAACAATCTTCATAAAAAGTTTCCTTAAAAGTCTCAATCGATCCTTTTTAGCAACCAATCAAATATGCACTTATTTCTAATAAAATCCTTGATTGGACTGCCTATAATGAGTACAGAATATTCCAGATACTCATATCTTCAAATTAAATTTTCAAGGATAAAATATACAACGCACTGTCAAGATGTTTTGTTGTAACATGTTACAACATCTGCTGGAACATCTATCAAATAAGGCACCTGCAGAACCTGCTTGTACTTGTTGGTCTAGATGTTATGACATCATCTTCAATATCTGGTAGTAAAACTCATAACAGCTGGAACTACTATGACAGTTGATAAAGATGCTGCACCATCTCACCAACATCAAGATAGAACCATGTTTAGAACCATGCTTAGCCAAAATTTAGCCAATCATAAAAACATGGAACTAACAGACAGCATGTCAGCTATCAATCTGGTGAAGAATTTGATAATACATGGTTGAAGCAAGCACATCGAGATGAGATTTCATTAACTTCGTGAGCAGGTGGCAGATGAAAACATAAACTTGGAACACTACATAACTGGGAATCTTATTGCAAACATCATGACGAAAGGAGTGCAGGTCAAAGTGTTCAAGAAATTAAGATGTATGATGAATGTGGATAGTTTAGACATATTGAATTATGTAGTGTATAGAGATTATAATTCCTTGTGTCTAAGTAACATGTTGCTCTACAGAAATAAGGTTGTGTCGAAACTACTCTAATGTGTGTCAAGTTTTTTTAAATGTCGAAATGTCGAAGTAGATTGCTTCACACGGGATTTCGACTTAGGTCTAAAATAGCTATTTTAGGTTTTTTATTTTGGAATTTAGCTTAGGAAGCAAGCAAGACCAATTATAAATAGAGAGAGTAACCTCTATTTTGTATGGACTTGAATTTATGAGAAACTTGCAGTTGCAAGAGAGAAATAAGAGAAGTTTCCTCAGTTTGTGGGTAGCGAGAAACTTTGCAGAAATCATCATCTTCTTCCCAATATCCATAAAACCCTAATCTTCTTTATTTCTCAAATTTATTTTTTTTCATTGTTATTGTGTAGAGATAATCATCTTACAATCAAGGTTGATTGATTCACTCAAGTGAAAACTGAAGAACAAGGGATTTCAATCGGTGTAATTAAATCTTGTTAATCTAGATTGATTAGAAATTCTTCATAGTTTTAGTGGATTTTTAACAAGTCTTAGCCAAATGACCTCATTTTTCATAATTATAACACTACACACCTTTTTTTATCTTCTTTGACTTTCTGATAGGAGTTTCCTTCTCCATTTTTAGAGGATTCAGAAGCCCTATCATCGATCTTATACTTTTGAAGGTTCGAACAAGACTTCTTGCTCTGAGTCTTATCTCCCTTGCCTTTGAATTTTTTAGAATCAACATGCTTCTTCCATGCTTGAGCCTGCAATGCTTGTATAGAATCTGAACTCATTTTCTTTCGACAATCCTAATCTCATGTGCCTCCAACAAACCAACCAAATCTTCCAATTTTAGGGTTTCAAGATTGTTGGATTCTTGAATAGCTACGATAATGTAATCAAAGTGATAGGTCGACATACAAATTACCTTCTCAACTATCATCTTATCAGTTAAGGTTTCACCACAATCCTTCATGAGATGGACGCGATTATGCACTTTTGACATATAGCTTGCAATATTTTCATCTTCTCCCATCTATAACAATTCATAATGTCATCGCAAAGTCTGCAATTTAGTGACTTTGACTTTCTCACCTCCTATCCCATGTCTCCTTCGCCGATTCAACATGAGAAATTCGGTCAAAATTGATTGCATCTATCGCCGACCGGATACAATATGCAGCCTTGCAATCTTTCTTCTTTGCCTCCTTTTTCGCGGCTCTCGGAGCATCAATTGTGTTCACAACAAGCCCAAGGACGCCATTAGTAACCACTTATAGGATTTCATGAAAGGAAAACAAAGATTGCATTTGTTTTCTCCATCAAGTCCAATTCTTGCTGTCAATAATTAGAAGAGACTTCAGAATGTCATTAGTACCATTCATCTTTGCAGCGATTGATTCATGTTCTCTGGAAACACGACCACCAACGTAAAGTTCTTGAAAACACGATCAATAACACGAATCAGGAGCTCTATATACCAATTTATTAGTGCGTGAGACAATTTTAATGAGGAAAGAAAGAGAGAGAATACAGAAATAAAGATTGATATTATTGAATTATATAAACTTATTTACGATATATCTATTTATATACAACTAACTTGTATACTAAATAACTAAAAAACACTAATTAACTTAGATTTGAGTTTGAATTATTTAATTTGAATTATATCATAATATTAATTTACTTTGGATAAATAGCTCTAATAATGTAATATTAGAGTTGAAATTATTTTTGTTATGTTCTCTACGTTGTCTTAAATGACATAATCGGACTGTTATGTTTTGAATTTTAAACAATTTGAGTATTCTTTTTTCCTTTGTTATATCCTTGGGTTAACACCTTTGTGATAGTTAATTGATTTATCCTCATTGCTTATAAAAAAAAAAATTCTTATATTCCCCAATGTTTTTATATAGAAAAAAAAATTATTCGTGAGTTGAAGATGTTACATGACAGGTTTTTGATTTACACCTCGTTTTTTTTTTTCTCTGAAGTGTATGTTATGATTTACATGACAACGTATATGTATCACGGAGGTATAAATGAAGCAATCCAAATGATTGAATTTTAAATGGATTTAAACATGTTATATATATATATATATATATATATATATATATATATATATATATATATATATATATATATATATATATATATATATATAAAACACTCACGTTAGGTCTCGTAATTGCAATTTCAGATTTCTACATCACACCACATAAATATTTGGCTTTCTAAATCATTAAACCGAAACTCAATGATTTTTATGAAGAGAGAAGGTTCACATGTTTAAAGAAGTGCCTGATATAATGGAATAAAGTTGAACATGGAGCATTTCTTAAAACTGATTTCCTATAAAATATAACTTAAAGTTATTTTAAATTTGAATTAATTTGACGAATTAATAAAGTACAATCCGGCCAAATTCCTTTTTCTAACTAATTTCCCTAAAATTATTCTCCATAAAATAACGTTACCCTTAATAAACGCAAATTGAGGATCTTATAGTTAGGATATTTTGTGAAAATTCAAATGATTTCTCTCATACCTCAAAGGTCAAAATTTATGGGCTTCATACCCTCGACCCCTCCACATTGCTAAAAACCCTTTCTCTCATTAAACAAATTTTTCACAAAGAAACTCCCAAAACCTTCCATTCCTCACCTTAATTCCTTGTCAAAAACCAAACCATAGTCCTTTCAAATTCCTTCTAGCTACAACGTTAATGTCTTTCAACATCAACAAGAAAAAGTTCTTGAGAACACTCTTTTCATCTAACAAAAGTTGTGGTTGCCTCAAAATAAAACCCTCTAATGTCCTTGAACCCTCTATAAAACCTAAAATCTCAATTTATCAAAATCAAAATAAAAACCCTAGCAGCGCCACTTCTTCCGCCTCCACCACCAACGATGATGATAAAGTTTTGGCTTTCAGTCCCGTCTGTGAAGCCAAAATTTCTCATCATAACAACAATACTATTTTAAAATTAGGTACGAAACTCGTCGATAGTATTGCGGTCGAGAAGGAGTCTGACGATCCGTACGATGATTTCCGAAACTCGATACTTCAAATGATATTGGAAAGAAAGATCTACGCAGAAAAGGATCTTGAAGAGCTTCTTGAATGCTTTCTTCAGCTTAACGCAAAGTGTCACCACCAAGTCATCGTTGAAGCCTTCATGGAGATATGTGAAGAAATATTCCCTAAGAAACTTCAAGGCGAAGGTGAAGAGTCTCAAAGGAATAATCAGATTAATGGAAAGAGTTAGGTGAGTGAATCTTGTTATACTTCTAGGTTAGACATTGAAGAACATACACGTGTGAAGGGCATGTGAATGCATTGATGTCACACGTGGGAAGATGAATGTTGCATGAGAAATTTGCGGTTCCAAATTGATGTTGTTATATTTAGTTAGATATTCTCATCTATTATTGTGGGGTAAGGGTTGGAAGGAGCTGAAGCACCGTTTAAAATTTATTGTGGAGATGTATACTTTTAGATATTGATGAATTTTTACTGTAAAATTATAATTCATTAGTTATGAATATTTATCACATCATAATTTGTTATTCTAATGTTTTATGATATTTTGGGATCAGAGTTTTCTATCTTGTCACATCATATTGAGAGAGCATTTTTGTCGGACCAAAGGGAAATAAACGGCAGTGAGACTGTGTGAGGAGAATAAAAGGATGGAGGTGGGAATTAGGTTCAATCAATTTTAATACAACGATAGTGTTTTCATTTAAAAATTAAAAATAAATAAAATTTTAGCCGAAAACAATAAATATTTAAATTTAGTGATTGTCCAAATTCTCTTCGAATAGCAAAGTGATTACTTGAGTTTGGTGTTTTTCTTTTACAGAAATAAATTCAACGACTTTAATTAAATATTGTTCAATATAAGAAGGTAATTAAAGGTGTTTGCAGTTTGGTTTGTATCAATTTTAAGGCAAAAGTTCATTCTATTTATGATTCGGTTTTGGATGATATATTAAAAAAATCTAATCTGATCCTATTCAATTTTATGTGATTTAATTTGAATCGGTTTTTGGATATCCAAATTGCACATTATATTTTTATTTATATTATATAACTACTAAAAAAATTATATATTTGATATAATATATAACATATAATATATTAAAAGTTAATATTATAAAATGAGAGTGATCGATTATAGTTGAAATAATAAAAACAAATAAATTATACCAAGAAAATAAATATAATTAAAAAAATCATTATCATCTAATAATAAATTCACATAACATATCATACTAATAAAAAGTAAATAAGTATAAGAATATACATATGTGGTTTGGTTGGATTGGTTTTGAAAAATTAATCTGAAATCCGATCCAAACGATAGGTTTTCACAAAATGACATCCAAACACATCCAATAAATTTTGGATTTTTGCAGTTTTTGGTTTTTTGGACCGTTATTCAGTTTTTTATTTGGATTGGTTTGGATTTGAACACCTCTAAAGGTAACACATTAATAATACTGTATTTAGACTAATTGATCGTTTTAGCTAACGTATAGAATTGACTGCTTTAGTTAACGTATGGCAACCGAATTCGTTCGGTAATAAACTTAATTTCAAAGTTAAAAAAATGTAAGAATTCTTAATGGCCAAGATAATAAGACTAAATTCAGACATTCCTAAGTGATTAGAATGAATAGTTTGAACTAACAAGTTGAGAGTCGCTTTCAAAGGTAACATTATTCAACTGCAACGAAATAACACTTTGCAAAGCTTATTTCAAAGTCACGGCTTCAACTTCTATGGTGGACAAAAGGCCAAAGTCCCAAGCTACACCTGCAGTTATAAACCTACCCAAATCATCTCTCACACACAACCTCTATTTGTTGTACCTCTTTCACTATTGAAACTAGCGTCTACATTACACTTCAATCTTCCTACAAATGACGGACTCCAAACAATTGATTGATGAGGGGCTGACTAATCCACTTTCTTCTCTAGTTGAAAACCAATTATGGAAATTGAATTTTCTTGCAACCCAATGTTCGTTACCTCCTTCCGCTCATCATTTCAAACAATGTTATTTCTATTAGTCTAAAGCACATTAATCATCACAAGAAATCTACCAGCATCCCACTTATCTCCCCTACTACAAATGTCAAGAATATGAGACTAACATCATGAAAATCATGTAAGCAAATATCAATTAAAGATGACAAACCTGCTGCCCGATAATATTGAATTGTAGAAATACACTCAAAAAACACATGTCAATCATCTTCGTCTTCACTCTCGCAAAGTTGACAAACATAAGGACATTGGACATGATAATGATGACAGAGCCTAGACCGAGTCGGTAAACATCCCCTACAAATCATCCATAATAAGAATTTTCCTCTCGAGGGTGCAATAATATTCCAAAGGTTTCCCCAATTCCCATACACCCTTTTGTTTAGATGATTCTCTTAGACCTTCCTCCATAATATATAACTAGATTTGACACTGTACACTCCATTTTGCTTCTCTTGCGAAATCAACTTGTCTTCTAACAAATCCTCCACCAACAGGACACTTAAGATTTCTTCAGCCACTGCATGATCAAAAAATAATGTATCGCTCGTACATTCCATTATTTAACGTTAGACAACATGAGGTTTTTAACATAAAGATCATACACTTCTTGCCCTTGAGGACCATTCAAATACCCTTCTCCTTTCCCTTTTATCCAAGACTCGTTCATTACCTTAATGTTACTTCCATCACCAATACTACACCTGCAACCAATCATTAAAATATCCCTAACTTTCCAAAGGCACCTCCACAAAAAACTCAGATTATTACCAAAGGCCCTTCATAGAAGTTTGGAATGGGAATTTGACCTCGAGGTTCAAGGGAGTAATTCTCTCTCAACCAAACATAGAAGCTTTCAAAGAGAATGTGACATGCTAAATCTGAGGGTCATATTCGTAAGAGCTTAAAGGGAGGATCCAACATTTAATCTCCATAACAGGAATATATATATATATATATATATATATATATATATATATATATATATATATATATATATATATATATATATATATATATATATATATATATATATATGATCAAGATCAAATGACACCAAAGTGTCAAACTTAGTAATATGACACCTTCGAAAATCATGTAAGCAAATATCAATTAAAGATGACAAACCTGCTGCCCGATAATATTGAATTGTAGAAATACACTCAAAAAACACATGTCAATCATCTTCGTCTTCACTCTCGCAAAGTTGACAAACATAAGGACATTGGACATGATAATGATGACAGATCCTAGACCGAGTCGGTAAACATCCCCTACAAATCATCCATAATAAGAATTTTCCTCTCGAGGGCGCAATAATATTCCAAAGGTTTCCCCAATTCCCATACACCCTTTTGTTTAGATGATTCTCTTAGACCTTCCTCCATAATATATAACTAGATTTGACACTGTACACTCCATTTTGCTTCTCTTGCGAAATCAACCTGTCTTCTAACAAATCCTCCACCAACAGGACACTTAAGATTTCTTCAGCCACTACATGATCAAAAAATAATGTATCGCTCGTACATTCCATTATTTAACGTTAGACAACATGAGGTTTTTAACATAAAGATCATACACTTCTTGCCCTTGAGGACCATTCAAATACCCTTCTCCTTTCCCTTTTATGCAAGACTCGTTCATTACCTTAATGTTACTTCCATCACCAATACTACACCTGCAACCAATCATTAAAATATCCCTAACTTTCCAAAGGCACCTCCACAAAAAACTCAGATTATTACCAAAGGCCCTTCATAGAAGTTTGGAATGGGAATTTGACCTCGAGGTTCAAGGGAGTAATTCTCTCTCAACCAAACATAGAAGCTTTCAAAGAGAATGTGACATGCTAAATCTGAGGGTCATATTCCTTACTCAATCAAGCGTAAGAGCTTAAAGGGAGGACCCAACATTTAATCTCCATAACAGGAATATATATATATATATATATATATATATATATATATATATATATATATATATATATATATATATATATATATATATATATATATATATATATATATATATATATATATATATATATATATATATATATATATATATATATATATATGATCAAGATCAAATGACACCAAAGTGTCAAACTTAGTAATATGACACCTTCGACAACTCTTTACCACATATTCGTATAGAAAATTCACTGTTAGATTGAAAACTATTATTATATAGATCATGTTCATAAAATTTAACATCAATCGAAAATTATTTGATATGTCAACGAGATGGATTAAAACTAACGTCTTACAAAACTTCAACAAAACCGTTAATTTTAATCTTTCTCTTTAACATATCAAATGATTTTTTATTAATGTTAAATTTATAGACATGATCTATATGATAATGGCTTTCAATTCAATCGTAGATTTTTTATACAGATATACGGTAAAGAGTTATCGAATGTGTCGTATTACAAAGTTTGATACCTTGATGTCATTTAATCCTGGCCCATATATATATATATATATATATATATATATATATATATATATATATATATAGACACACACACTAATGATAAAAAATTAAATTGTTCTATATATTTTAGTTTAATAACTCGGTTAGATGTAAATCTATCTCGATGGAGTATATGACTCATTTTTCTTTGCGTAAAGGTATTGAGAAATTGTTCTTCTTACCATCTCACATACAACACAAACAAAAAAAAGCAAAAAATTGAAATTTTGTTCCTCAGCAGATAGGTGTTGAACCAGATGTCTGAGACAACTTGTCTAACTTGTTAAAATAGGTTTCACACACAATGATTGCAACACAAAATTATATACAATGCAATAAAGAACATGTGTGAATTGGTAACCAAGTTCGGTTAAATCATACCTACATTTGTGGGGAACTAAATCCATGAAAGGAAACCCACTCTTTATAGAATTAACACAAAGTGTCTTAGATGAACAAGCCACTTGTTCAATGTCCCTCTTCATAATTCTACCCTAGTGTCATTATACTTAGGACTCCACCTAAATATGAGAAGCTTATTTCTCACTTTCTCTCAATCACTAATCACAAGTGATCAACATCAATAAACATAATGATGGATGTTGAATACAACTCAACTAAACAAACCAACTACTATGTCTTATGAATGAAGAAATAATATGGTATACAAGAAACATAAACAAAGACACATCCTAAAATTTAATTAAACATTAAAACCTAATTAAATTTGAT